ACACACTCACACTAGCCCCACAACAACGACGACAAAATAACAGGAATAAACAAACATTCTTCATTCATATCTCTCAACATCAATGGTCTCAATCTCCAACTAAAAAGACACAAACATACAGAATGGATGTGAAAATGGAATCCATCCTTTCTACTGCATCCAAGAAACACACCTTGACATCAAAGATAGATATCAGCACAGGGAAAAAATATGGAAAAAGATATTACAAGCAGATGGACCTAAGACGCAAGCTGGTACAGCTATTTTAATATCTGACAATATAAACTTCAAAATGAAATTAATCAGAAGAGATTGGGAAGGACACTACACACTTATCAAAGGAAAACTGCAGTAAGAACAGTCAATTCTTGGTATCTATGATCCAAACACAAGGATATCCATGCTCATGCTGGCTGGGATGTGAAATAGGGGAAACTCATCCATTGCTGAGAGGAGTGAAGATCTGCACAGCAAGTATGAAAAACAGCACAGTGGTTCCGTAAGAAAATGGGAATCGGTGTACCACAAACCCAGCTATACCACACTTGGGCATATGCCCAAAGGACACTGCATCCTGTCACAGGGACACTTCCTTAGCTGTGTGCATTGCTGCCATTATTCATAATAGTCAAGAATTGGAAATCTAGATGTCCCTCAACAGAAGAATGAATACAGGAAACATGGTACATTTACACAATGGAAGACTTCTCAGCCATTTAAAAAAAAAATGAACCATGACATTCACATGAAAATGAATGGAACTAGGAAAAAATCATCCTGAGTGAGGTAACCTAGACCCAGAAAGATAAATATGGTATGTACTCACTTATTTGTGGCTTGATAACTAAGTTGCAATATATAGAACCTTAGAACTGAGGTATAGCATAAGGGATTCGGTGGGAGATGTAGGGGACAGATATATCTCCCTGGGAAAAGGAAATAGGATAGACAGTTATGAATGGATTAGGCAGGGGACTGGAACAGGAGGATCAACTGGAGAGGGTCAGGGAAGAGGGCTACAATGGAAGGAGTACAGGGGGAGGTAGCTGAAATTAAGGACTTTTGAGGGGTAGAATGGTAATCTAATACAGTAGAAGATTCATTTAAAAATTATATATACATATATAAAGGTGATATGAATGAGACCAACAAATAATGGAAGAGACAGAGCCATTTCTTGTCACTAAATGAAGCGTCAAGTACGAGGAGTGGATTACATCTAATGGGTTGGCTGGCCAAAAGGGTTTCCGTGGGACACCCAAAGTACCCAGGCTGTTGCCAAGACAACTGCTCTCCGCAAAGTGATGGCAAGGTCCCACTGCTGAAGGCAATACCTGGATAATTCAGTGAACATGGGGAAGTCCATCTGGTGCCTACATAGAGCTTTCACCCCTATGTGCTGGTGTCTCTGGTATAGGAAGGTACTCTTCATAACAACATAATGGAAACTTAAATACCAGCCCAGCCACAAACCCTTGTATTAGCAATGTTGTCCTGCCTGCAAGATGTGCTAGAGCAACAGCGGCATAAAGCTTGTGGCAGGAACCAACCAATATTAGATTTGACTGACAGCCCAATTCGTGAGACCGAGCCTTAGCAACCCTCCTTGGGTGACCCAGAACCTGAGACTAGATAGCCCAGTGACCTAGGATAAAACCAAATTCTACTATTCCAATAAAAGAAAGTAGCAATAAAACGACTCCTGAGAACATTCTGCTATACGTATAGATCAGTGCCTTGCTCAGCCATCATCAGAGAAGCCTCCTCTTGCAGCAAATGGGAAAAATGCGAAGATCCACAGCCAAGCAATATGCAGATAGTGAGAGGCCTCGGGGCATGCAGGCCTAAATGCGGTGTCCTCCACTCAGGGCCCAGGAATACCAGGGAAGAGGAGGCACAAAGATGATAAGAGCCAGAAGGAATGAGGAGACAAGGCCGTCTAGATCAACAAGACTGATACACATAGGAGCTCACAGAGACTGAGGCAGCATTCATGGCGCTGCACCAGATGGTGTCACAGAGGTGTAAAGAGAAAGGACACATGCCAACTCCTTAACCCAAAAGCAGTCTCCAACTGATAAACATTTGCAAAGAAAACTTTAGTTCACTATAAGAAAGTCTCACTGGGGAAGACAAACTACTTTTAAAGGTTAGGCTGCGTGCCCAGAAAGATGGGTGAGAGAAAACAAACTCAGTGGCATCTTTGCAAGATCCTTGTATCATCATCAGAACTTTTTCTTATTTTTTTTTATTTTGTTTGATTAATATACATTTTCTTCTCTCTTTGTACTTTGTCCATTGTGTATACACTACAGCTTCCAGTTTAGTGATTTTATGGGATTCATGAGTATGCAAACCAGTGAATTTCAGTTTCTGGTACCTTCCCTCATGTTTTTTTCTAAGTTCAATGTGTTAATTTTTGTTTTGTATTATTTTATTTTATTATTATCTCTCATGAGTCTGCTTGTTTTCTAATGAAAGACATAAAGGGGGTGGATCCAAATTCGAGGGGAGGTAGAGAGAAACTGGGAGAAGTATGGGAGGGGTAATTAGGATATATTAAATAGAAAAAAAATCCATTTCCAAAAAAAAGTAAGGAAAAAGAAAGAAGGAAGGAAGGAAGGAAGGAAGGAAGGAAGGAAGGAAGGAAGGAAGGAA